GTAGCCAGCACCGTCTCTGCCTCAGAGGACCAGTGGCCCTGGCTACAGGCCCTGCTGCCCCCATCCTAGATCTCCCTTATGCCTCGTGCTGCAGCTCCTCTGGTTATTTCCTGGTGGGGTGATCCAGACTTCATCCCTGGGGATCCCAGCCCTTGGTCGTCACGCCCTGGCTGGGCTGTGATCGCCGCGGTTGCCACTTACTGTTAGCAGTGGGTGTGGAAACACCAAGAGCCAGGTACCCAAGGGGGTTCCCGACACCCCCCTGCCCCACTGCACAGCCCTGGCTCTTCCGGGTGAGCCCACAGGCCCGCTGGTCGGCCAGCAGGAGGGGGCCAATGACCAGGTCACATCTTCCAGTTGATGGGACCCTATTGTGTCCCTGGGCAGAAGCTTCCTGCCCCCAGGCACAGGAAACACAAACTCCAGAAGTGGGTCATTGGAGTGATGAGGGGAGAGGCCTTTTTGACTTCCACCCTCTGCTTCCTGTACCCGTGTGTTGTAGCCGCAGGGGACACAGTGGCGTATGTCAGCTCCTTAGAGAATAAAGCTACGAGGTATGGTTCCTGAGCTTGGCCCTTTCAGGCTGTGCCACCTGGGTGTTGGGGTTCCTGGTGAGATCTGTGGACCCTTTAGTCGGATGCCCATTGTTCCACATTTGGCCAAAAAATGGGCCCTTTGGTGCTGGAAGCCGAGCTATTCCCAGCCTGAGTGGCAAGGCCCGGGCTGTGGACGGATTGGCGACGGCAGGGCGGCCCGCCGACAGTGAAGCTTCTTGTCCTCCCGCTTCTAGGTAATTCGGCCTTAAGACTACCTGGGGTATTGTCTGTTGGGGAACTGCCCTCGACAGGCCCCCTGGGAAAAGAACCATTAGGGAAGAAAATAAGGTTCCGCAAGAACATGTGCGGCCTTACGTTTAGCCCTTGCCATCCCCTATGGAGACTCCTACTCACAGGAAGGATAGCCTCATGCATTTGCCAGCAAAGGCGGCCAATGAAGGAGAGACATATGGATCCGAAAGCCCCACTCCGGTAACTAAGGAGCGTATCTATGGACGCAGGTCACTCTAACCCCTGGGCCCACTTGGCCCCCAGGAAGCATTCCAGATGATGACTGAACCTAGTCAGTTAAAGTACAGAATGGTTCATTGGTTCCTAGGTGCAGGGTCTCTCTGAGAACGTATAAGGCGTGGGTTTCTAACGCCCTCCCGGCCCCCTTCCTGGCACCTCGGACCCAGGCGAACACTTTTGTTCTTCAAAACCACGAATGGTTCAGGGAAACAACTAAGAGGTCATGTCCCTGTAACTGTTCCACTTGAGGTGTTGAGAGATAAATGACCTTTCATGAAAACCGCAAAGCAAGTACTTTATAGATTATAGATAAACGTAGATGCATAATCAAAACAATGAAAGAAATTAATCAATACGCAAAGGGCAGGAGGGAACATTACCAAAAAAAAAAAAAACCAATCATGTAATTCCTTATTGGGTGATGACACTAAGGAACAATTTTAGAATTGGGTAAAGCCAGAAAACATAGATGACGTACGTTACAAGGAAATCACTAGCAAATATAAATGCCGCGTTTGCTAAGATAAATCGGCCAGTTCAACACGCTGCTGTTGTCTGTGTCCGTTTTTATTTTAATGGTTTATTTTAGTTTTGTTTTATTTTCACTTTTTCGCCAACGCCGTTCATCCTTCGGGAACCCCTGGACCCGCGGGAGCTGGACTCCGGCACGTTGGCGTGAGGCCATGTGTGTGTCCCGGGTCACTGCATTCAGGTGATCTAAAGCCCTCACATGGCCGTCCGGGGGAGGGCCCCGCAAGCAGGTCAGGGGAGCTGGTATGTAGAATAGTATCAATTTCAATAGGTACAAATGGCCCCCTTCCATCAGGGGACTGAAGCCATCGATCTGCTACCAGTGGCTGGCTGGTCCCTCGGAGATGGTATATCGAGGGCTCAGCTTTGTTCCTGCTTCAGCAGACCGGGCATTCGGTGGCAGAGGGACCTCCGTGAACCTTTGGGAGAGGAGCCCAGGCCACTTTGACCCCTGTCCTCATGGCTGCTCTGTCTGTCCCTGGGCCCCCCGTACCTGCTCTAGGGTGGCTGAGGAGGGAGGCCTGCTGACGTCTAGCAGCACATCAGCCTTTCCAGCTACTTTTTTTTTTTTTTAAGTGTTTATTTATTTCGAGAGAGAGAAGAGTGCAAGCGGGAGAGGCGCAGAGAGGGAGACAGAGAACCCGAAGCTGGCTCCGCACTGTCAGCGCAGAGCCTGATGCAGGGCTCGAACTCAGGAACCGTGAGATCATGACCTGAGCCGAAATCATGAGTTGGGCGCTTAACCAACTGAGCCACCCAGATGCCCCGTTCCAGCTGTTTGTTGACCAACCTTCTCCCCTGCATCGGACATTCTCTGATGGACTGGAAATGTGAGACCCAGAGACTTAATCTGTTGTGCCCCTCCCATTGGTTTTCACAGGTTCATCTTCCTACTCCTTCCCCAGTTCTCCTG